TTTTTATTAGACTACATTCGAACTCAAACATTATGCGGATTGATGTGCGTCACACGTGACGTGTGAATTTTCTTCAAATTTCGACAAACTTCTAGGTCCACACGACCGGGTCACACGAGTCGTGTGAGGTTACACGACCCGTGTCACTAGGCACACGAGTCGTGTGAAAAAAAAACCCTGGCTAATTATCCAGATTTTCTCACCCCATACGACTCGTGTGACACTGTGACACGAGTCGTGTGATCACAACCCGTGTCATTAGGCACACGAGTCGTGTGAAAACCCCGTGGACAATTCTCCATTCTTCTCACCCCCACACGACTCGTGTGACGGGGTGACACAAGTCGTGTGAGGTCACACGACCCGTGTCACTAGGCACACGAGGCGTGTGAAAACCCCGTGGCCAATTCTCCATTCTCCTCACCCCCACACGACTCGTGTCACTGACCACACGAGTCGTGTGACCTGCCTGCACCTTGTTTTTGCTGCTTTTCGTCCCAATTCCATCTTTAACGCTTCTCGCGACATCCATTTTTTTTTTTAACAAGAAGCATATAATGAAAACACATAATCTTGTAAAAGTTCCCAACAACATAAAACCAAACATCGAATAGAAGAAAATATGTCATACATCAGGGGTTATTTTGAACATCAAACCATAATTGCAACCTAGACTGGTACTGATTCTCCCAATTCTCCACCGAAGCAGTTCGGTGTCTGAACCACATACTATGAATAGGCGGTAATGGACAATCCGGAGTCAATCTAACCGAATGTAGTGTGCGTAGCTACCAAGATGACATATGCAAATCTCACGGCGTGGCCCTATGCTCGTTGATGCTTCAGCGAGCGGCAATACTGTGCAGCTGAACTGGTTGGACATACGACCATCTCGACCAGAGCTTAAATGAACGACAACCATATTAAATAGGGTTGCAACAGGGTAGAGGTCACTTGGAGTGTCCATCCAGTGATTCGTGCCACAAGCGCCCCCGTCCCACCTTATAAAATTAAAATAAATATTAGCATTTGAATAATAATAATTATAATATAAAAGAAAAATAAGTATAAAATATAAAATATTAGCAAATAATTATTAATAATAATAATAAAAAGCACCCACGTCCCACTTTATCCGAGCGAGTGCCATGTCGATATACCTGTAATAGATGTACTCGTACAAGGCACGGTGGTTGTAAATCTCATTGGCAACGTTCTCTCGTACGAGATGTCACATCTCCTGGTCCCCGTAAATGTAATTCGCAATGACCCGCCATCCGCAGTTCCCATCTGCTTTCACATTCAAGTAGCTCACTACGTAGTCCAACATATGCCAAGGAACACTGCTGCTGTACGCAAAACTAAATATATCTGTCTCGGTACCAGCTGGAACATCATAATAATTTCACGTCACAATAAAATAATATAATTTTGTAAATTAACATTTTAATTAACGTTCAACTTTATAAAAAATAAATGTCACCTTGGTGTGCCTCTTCTGACGGTTGAGAAGATTGGCTGGTTCTCGGTCCACACGAAAAAGTTCGTCCACGCGAAGAATTGCTTGTACGATCTTGCGAATTATCCCTATACTCCCATCGCGATGCTTGATGCTTAGTAGAATCAGTTTTTTTGGGACGACCTCGCGTATTTTCCTTAACTTCCGGTTCTGCATATGCTTGTTGGTCCGGGTAAAGCTGACTGTAAATGAGGTTATTGCAGTACCGCATCGTCGTAGGATCGCTCCCTTCAACCTCTTTGGCAAGCGTCCGAAAAAACTCAACATCTGTCCAGACAACCTGATTATGCTGGCTCTGGTAATTTGTCCCTAAAAGTATACGATCAAAAAATTGAAACAATTACACAAAGTAATATACTTTAGTGTGTAATTTAAAATGAATCAGTAAGTAGAAAATTATAAATAAACATTAACCACAAATTACTTGGTTCTAACATCTCTAGTGTCTTCCAGAACTCGTGGATCATGTCAATACCAATCGCCATTTAGAATCATGTGTTGTACGAAACGTACATGCACAAGGAATTCCATGTGTGGTAGACAATAAACAGCCGCAGCTCAAGTAAACTTCATAGCTCACGTCTCGCATCCTTGTTAGCTCATCGTTCAATAAATTCAGACAGTAATGTGAGACTCTCAATGTCAAGCACGCGAAAATTAATCCCGTATATGCCGTACTCTTCTTAAGTCTCGAAGACTCAAGTGCTGTCCTGTTAATACATTACAAAACAATTTGTTATATATAACAAAGTATAATATAATATACTTATATAATATAATATACTATACTTATATAATAATATACAAGTATAATATAATATATTTATATAAATATACAAGTATAATATAATATATTTATATAAAATAATATATATAACAAATTATAATATAATATACTATACTTATATAATATAAAATACTTATATAATACTTATATAATATAATATAACAAATTATAATATAATATACTTATGTAATATAATATAACAAATTATAATATAATATATTATATTTATATATAATATATTTGAGGAATGTACCTGATTTCAGTCAATTGAGACTCGATCTCCTTATCAATCTTATGCCACACTGTATCTAGCGCGCCAGTCGACGTGTGAAGCCAATTCTTCAACACAGAGTGGACACTTTCCACCCTACATGTAGTTATGTTGCCAAAATGTGTTACTTGGTTCGTCCAGGCTTTCACAAACTTCTCCTTGTGGCCTAGCCACGTCTGCTCGAGATATTGAACCACTTTTGAGTCATTCTCGTATTATGCATTCAATTGAGCTACGACAACGTCGTACTCCGGCGTCCTGGCATCTATAATAGACTTCCACCGACCGCGCAAGAACCTCTCAGATAATTTTTTATTTTTCCCAAACAGGTTGAACACTTTGTTTTCCACATCCTTGTTGATGTGCCACGTGCAGAGTAAATGGGCAGATTGGGGAAAATGCCTCATAATAGGAGTCAATAAGCCCAACTCTCTGTCACTGACAACCGCATTAGGATGCACCTGATCAGCGGCAAAAAATTAGTGAGACACGCCAAAAAAAAAAACTCAAATTTTTTTACCATATTTTACAAAGTACTCTTATATACTAATTATTAATCATGTACTTCATATAAATCCTTACCGTATAGCCTATGAGAAGTCTCAACTTGTCGAGAACCCAATCATAACTGGCCTCTTTCTCGTCCTTCATGAGGGCATACGCAATTAGAAAGTTATTGTTGCACGGCGTCATGTCAATCATCTCGACCAACGACATCTTGTACCTGTAAAAATGAGACCGATAAGGGCTGGGAATAATTAAAAAGGGCTGAAATTATCACATAAATTTGACTAGTATTAATTCTAATAAGGGCCAGAAAAATAATTATCCGAGAATGGGCCGAAAATATTCCCAAGAAACTGGGCCCAAAAATAATTTAGCTTATGCGGCCTTAAATATAAACTCAAAATCGGTCTCGATAAATTATAAGAATCGAGAATATATTAAATTGACAAAGCCGGAACAAACTGGAAAGGCTTTGACGGCTACTAACTGAATAAATCAAATAAAATCGAATAACTAACGAATATTCGATAATTCGAATATTTTAAATAGACATTAACGTCTAAACAAAATATTTCTCTCTTAACGGATTAAATAGACACTAACGTCTAAATAAATCTGAAGAACTTGTCGAGCTTAGAATAATTAAATGCAGCTAACTACAATAATAAAATAAATAATCCAGAAAAATCCATAATTTGAACGGGGTACTACACAAACTTATACTCGAGATCGACTTAATATCATGCTCGAGTCGAGCTTTGACTCGAGTTCTTCTCGTTTTATGACGCTCGATATAGACTGGACAAAAAATCAAATTGGGGGTGAAATTCCGTAAGAATCTAGAACGTGAGATTTTACCGTTCAATTATGTTCGTACACTTTATCAGAAATTGCAGAACCTTCGACAAGGGTCACGTAGTGTTGATGAGTATACCGAGGAATTTTATTAACTCTTGGCCCTTATATATATTCGGGAGACTCCAGATCAATTAGTTTCCCGATATTTTGGTGGGTTACGTGTCTCTTCCAGGATGTGTTGAATATGTTCACTCCGGTTTCTGTTTCGAAGACACAACGAGCTTTACTAGTGGAAAAACAGTAGGCCCGTCGGACGCCTTCATCATTTTTGCCATCACGATAGCCTTTGACTCATCCACGACTTCGGCACCATCTTCATCTATTCTACCGACTGGGGTTTCTGTTCCCTCTGGTACTACGGTTAGGGGTCGAGTTGGTGGAAATGTGCCTGGGGGTAACATTCTCCCAACGGGTGCTCCGAGGTGTTTTTCATGCGACGAACCGGGGCATCGATAAGCCCAATGTCCAAAATTAGAGGGTACATGAGCTCTTTTGGTTGAGGATTCGGAGGATACCGAGTACAATGGTCTGCTTATTTTTTATGTGGAACCCGAGATTGTGGAGGAACATGTGACCGGGGATGTCGGGCCTGCATTAGTCCTTCGTCATTCGCTTTTATGTCCTCCAGTTGTCAGCACGAGTGCAGTTCAGCGACATCATATTTTCTAGTCCAGTTGTACCATCTGTGGTCAAGTATGTCGTTCATGATTGACTCGGGTGCTTGTGAAAATGTGGTCACTTCGGATGCGGTGGAGAAATTAGAATTGAAAATGGAACCCCATCCTCAGTCGTATACACTAGCTTAGATACAGAAGAGGACCCCTGTTACAGTAGATCGTTGAGTCTTAGTGGCCTTTTCATTCGGGTCGATGTACAGGGACGAGATATGGTGTGATATTGTGCCGATGGATACTTGCCACTTTCTTTTAGGCCGACCGTGGCAATTTCATTGTGCTGTTGTTCATAACGGATGTCTCAACACATATGGTTTTCTTTTCCATGGTGTCCGCATCGGCTTACACCCTTCATTATCTCGTTCGTTAGCCGTACCACCAGCTATGGATCCATCATCCTCTTTCTCTTCGTCTGTATGTTTCTTTCCTAGTCTGTCTTTGTTCGTGAGAAGATCGATGCGCCTATGGTTCTTCTTGTTGTCGGATCTGATTCGGTTTCGAATGGTTCACCTTCTGCCTTGATTCAGCCTTTGCTTCAGGAGTTTGCTGATGTTTTTCCCACCGAGTTACCTAGTGGGTTACCACCTTTACGAGATATTCAACACCATATTGATTTGGTGTCGGACGCTTCTTTTCCTAATCGCCCTCAATATCGGATGAGCCCAGCTGAGCATGAGGAGCTTCATCGTCAGGTTGAGGACTTGTTACGAAAGAGTCTATTCGTAGGAGTCTCAGTCCTTGTGCAGTGTCGACTCTCATCATTCCGAAGAAGGATAAGTCGTGGAGGATGTGTGTTGACAGTCTTGCGATAAATAAATGTTATAAATCCTCACTGGCTGGCCCATGTATATAATTTCCGTTCACGATCAAGACTGTAATCACCTTTCATATGGACAGATTAATTCCACTCATTGACTATCAATTATTACTATTGCCCGTCCGGCGGCAGAGCCGCACTGGCTGGCCCATGTATATATAGTCATTCATATTCTTTTATATGTATTATCTGTTGCTCTTGGCTTTACCACCTGACCATTCCACATCATCGGCTATTGACTGATCCATTTAGCCGTTCAATATTATATGTTGCTGGTAGTTGCAACACTTTGCCATTCATAATACTTTGATTAACAATTGACCATTCGGCTACCATAAATATTACTTGCCGATGGCAGAGCCGCACTGGCCGGTCCTCGTAGTCACACATACTTATTTTCATATATCATGGGTCATTCCATATATATTCACATGTTAAAGTATCAATTCATGAATATGAACATACTCATGTCTCAAACAATTTTTACAAAAACAAAATTCAATCATATAATGTAATAAACCATATCAATATTGGTCTTAAAACGAAACTCTTATTTAACTTATTAACATGGAACTAGTGCGTGGCCCGTGCGATGCACGAAAAATTACGATTGTGTTATAAATTAAATATACAAATAAACTAATCAAGATTTACCTATCGTTTTTAAATTAAACCGTGTTGGACACAGCCCGACTGGATGGACCGAGAACCAGTTTATAATAGTCTAGTTCACTTGAATAAAATATTTCCTATTGAATTCGTCAACACCAGCCGGTTGAACTGGTAGGATCGATACAATTTTTGAAATAAATTTTGGTATATTTAAAATCATTTTAAATAAAATTACATACGCTAATAAAATAGAAATTTATAAATTGTTTATCAATTCATTTAAATATTTGAATTTTTAAATTATTAGATATTTAACTAACACAATTTATTTCAATTTTATTACAAAAAATATACATAAGCGTATTTTTAAAGAAAAAAAATAAATTATATGATTAAATTTTATGATTATATTAATACGTATTTATGCATTATATTGTATGATTTGTAAAGAAAAAATAAGAAAAATAATAAAACTACTATTTATGGTTGCATTAAATG